CTATAGTAATTAGGCCTAAGTAAGACTCTTAGATATATAAATAGGGAACACAATGAGGCACTTAGAATCCCCACCACAAGAATAACGCCCACCACCCCAAAAGAGCTCCAAGAATCCCCTTAGAAGAAATCAAGAAAGCAAGAAAGCTTAAAGAAAGACCCTTCATAGCCAAGGAATTAATTAAGGCTAAGAGGTAACCCATGTCTCAACAAAACCTATTTTCATAGTTATGATTCCACCGTAGGATTTCCCCATATTATTGTGTATTGATGATTTGTGATGTTATTATTGATGATTGATGGGATAATTCCATGGGTGATCTTGATATTGGGAGATTCTTGATAATTATGGTGTTCTTGATGATTATGTGGAGTTCTTGATGATTATATGTTGTTCTTGATAATTGTATGGCGTTCTTGATGCTTATGTGTTATTTGTACCGAATCTTGTAATTAGAAGACGAACCGTATTCTTGTTGATGTAAAAGTAATTAGAACCCTAGGTTGATGTTCTTGTTGGCGTTCTTGATGCTTGTGTGATGTTCTTGATGCTTATGTGATATTCTTACCAAATCTTGTAATTAGAAGACGAATCGTATTCTTGTTGGTATAAAAGTGATTAGAACCCTAGGTTGTATCGTATGATATCATTCTTGGTGTATCGGGTGGGGAAATCGCATGTTTGGGTGTCGATTATGTTTAGAAAAGCATGATAGGTTATGTGTCGTACGTTTCTCGTATTTGATCCGTTAATTGTCTACGTGTTGATCGTTAATTGCGTTGTAAAGTGTCTAAGCATGGTTTCGTGTTCCACAATGGTTCCCGGGGCGTTTTGTGTGTAAAGAGTCAGTGGGAGGTAGGTGGGGGGTAGGGGACCCGCCACCTACCCGCGGCCAGAACGGACGTCTCCGGCAGCGGGCAGCTGCCCACCGGCGACCCGCTGCCCGGAACAGTGCTTACCGGCGGGCAGCCGGCGGGTGGCCCCCCACCCACCGGCTACCCGCTGGAAATCTCCCCAAATTCGGGACCCCGTGCTTCCCCGTTTGATGTTTCCCCGATCCCCGTGGTGTCCCAACGGACTCCGTTCATCGTGCCGTGTCTAGTTTGATGTTTCGGGTACCGTTCGTAGGTTTATGAGTCTTTTATATTGCATGCTAGTTGAATTGGTATCCCGTTGACCTAGGTGGAAGAAGTATGAACCCCTTAGGACCATTCTTAGTATGTGAAGGATCACACATAGGTTTTGTTATACGCTTTCTCCCCTTCCCAATGTGTTAATGTGGGTTGCATGTGCTTGCTATGTGTTATGTGTGCATGATACCCCAATTCGGTTGCGATCGGATTGGTTACCCTGAGCTGCGGTTCAGAAGCTGGCTGCGGTCAGATTTACACTCTTGGGCTGCGGTCCACCGTTTGGTTGCGATCAAACGTTTCTACATGAGCTGCGGTTCATATTTCCTGGCTGCGGTCAGATGACATTCTCTTGGGCTGCGGTCCACTGTTTGGTTGCGATCAAACATTATGATGAGCTGCGGTTCATCGGTCGGTTGCGCTCGACCCCTCCGTGTTGCGATACGGGGCAGGGTGCTGCAGGGCCGTGTCAGAGCTATATGCGCTGACCCTCATGTATGGGCATGCGATTGGTCCTGTGGCGCCAACAAAGTGTGCTATGTGATGAGATATGGATGAGTTGTGATTATGAGTATCTTGGGGGATGTGACTATGGGATTTATGCTGGGGATTGTTTATGTTGGGTTATGACTATTAATTGTGCTCAGCTTTATCTGTCTTGCCTGTTGTGGATTGTATACGCTTGTTATAATTGTTGCTTGTGTCTAGCCTTATCTGTCGAGTCATTCCCGGTTTTAAAAGCTAGAGTTCGTAGGATATATCTTCATGCTCAAAATGATTTTCGTATATCTATATATATCTCTATATGTATTGTATTTCAACGCGTTAGAGTGGGTTACCAGTATCTCTTGCTGAACAGATATATTTGGCTTTCAGGCACAGAAGAATAAGTCACTGGAGCGCACTAGAAATTGGAGCGTAGAAGTAGATAGTTTCCCTTTTGGCCTGCGTGCCATGCTTATGCATTTACATTATCAAGGATATTAGTTAGTTAGCCTGTGCACCTGAGTTCTCTAGCTCAGGTGTGGCATAGCACCCCGTACTCTTGTATTACGTTTTGGGATTTAATGAGATTTCGCCTTTATTTCATAAGTTTTAAATGTCTTGAAATTTCGGGGTGTTACATCTAACCCCGCGGAAACCATTCTGAAATCAGTAATCGGGTCTACGACCCCGCGGAATCCATACAAGGATCCGGAGACCCCGCGGTACACATTAGCTATAGGCCATCATCTTTGTCCACTTTGTGATTCGAGTCATTTGGTGACTCCGCGGTGAATGACTTGGTTTGACTGTGTCCTTTGTAGATTTGGAACCTTGTCAAGATTTGATTGATTGTTGATTGTGTTGAGAATTAACTTGTGATTGATTATGCTTATCTTGTCTTATTCATTATCTCTTTACTCATCATCTCTTGATTTGTATCTCTATTCGTTGAGTTGACTCTTATCGTTGATTCGTGTTTGAGTGGTATTGTGGAACACTTGGTTGTATGATCGGAGTATTACTTCTACTCCTCGTGTTTTGAAAGCTAGAGTTGTTTAGGAATATGTGTATATATTTCCAAGTCTCAAATGATTTTCTTATAAAGAATATTTATATACTGTACTCAACGCGTTGGAGTGGGTTACTTAGCAATTTTCACTAACGGTTGTTATACCTTATGTTTCAGGTGCTTAGTTGAGCCGAGAGCACGGTAGTGAAGCCCGGTAGACTAGTAGTCTTTCTTTAGCTTAGTGGTTTTGGCCTATGTGCTGTGAACTTGACATTTTAGACATAGTTTTTGTAAAGCCTATGCAACTAGAGTTGGAAAATCTAGTTGTGGCATAGCATTCCCAAAGTTAACTGTTTAGCTTCCGCATAGTTTTCTATTAATGACTAGACTTTCTATCTCTCTTTAAGTTTTAAATGCATTGTTTTATGCTTAAGTTTTGGGGGTGTTACACATAACTTCTCCTTAATACCCGAAATACTCTTGCATTGGGCATTAAGTGTGTGAATATGGCCGGGGCTAGTGTACAAGCTCTACTCTAGCTCGTAGCAACAAACACACTCCAAATCAAGCACATAATTGCGATCCAACAATTATACACAATTTCACAACTAACCCTAGAACATTCAAATGATCCCCTTTATGCAATACAACTCAAATAGGCATCAATGGCAAGAAATAAAACCAAATCTAAGTCCTAAAACACTTAGCTACTCATAATATAACAATAGATATACAATATTAAAGGAGTAATTGAAGCAAAAATTAAAAGTAAAGAGAAGAGATAATAAGCAAACTTCTCTATTGAAGCTTTGAAATCCAAGATTTACAATGTTCTTCAGCTTAGAAATGGAAAAGAAACAAGTAATCTACACTAATCTAAGCTATTCTAGAGCTAAACCAAACTAGAGAATGAAAGGGAAACGAAATATGTGTTTTGGGGTGAAAAAATCCCCTTTAAAGGGGTCAAAATCGAGGCTAAAACATTTGCAGAGGGTGGCCATGGGTGTGGCTACACCCGTGGCCAGAAATGCAAGCCACACTGCCCAGTGGCCATGGCCGTGGTCACACCCGTGGCCACCAGGCAGTGTGCACTGCCTGGTTGCCACGGTTGATTTTGTGCACTATGTTCGTCTTCTAGGACATTTTTTACCCTCAAACTCAATGAATTAGTGTTTGTGGTCTGCATCAAAGTTGTATCCCTTCAAGTTAGCTCTCCAATGACATAAACATCACTTGATTTGGACATTCCTACGCAGAGGTATGACCAAAATACAGAGAAGTAGACGATTTGTGCCGAAATTTCAACTTCTTGCTCTTTTGCTCCACTTTTGCCTTCATTTGTCCAAATGATCAAGACCACTAAACACACCATAATTTGGCTCTCTAAAAGGTGTTGCCCCCATCTTCATAGCTTCTCAATGGCTCCCATTGACTTTACGTGCATCCGAAATACCCCAAAAATCATTCAATTCATCTAAATCATCAAGAATTACACATAAGCACACAAATGAATCAAATGAGGACAATTGATGGGAAATCTACACACCTATGAAATGTAATTTATCTCGGATCACAACAAAAGGGAGAAGAACATCGCCTTTGCAGCTGAAGAGCATGATTATGAATTAGAACCAGAAGATTATGAAGATGACCCAATATTTTTACTAACCAAACAATTTTCTTAATTTTTTAAATAAGTGAAACAAAGAATTGGAAATTCTACGAGTTGTTAAGGAACCCAGAGATCTTGATATTCCACCAATTATTGAGCAGCCAATAAATCCACTTGCGAATGAACCATTATATGATGATATTCCACAAGCTCCATCGATTTTTGAGGAGTAAGTGGATCATGTTATCGCACCAATGGTTGGGGAGTCAATAAAACTTTGTATTCAATTGATTTTTGAGGAGTCAATAGAACTTACAAAGATTGCGACAATTTTTAACAAGAGCTTTGGGAAAAAAGAGTGAGATTAAAATGAAATTTTAAGCATGTATGTCAAGCCTTTGGAGTGGCCTGGTCTCGAGAATTAGGTTTTACATTATTAGGGTTTGGAAGAAGAAGTCACTCTCACAATAGAAATCATTTTCAAAAAAGTCTAAAATGAGGCTTCATGTTGTCCAAGAATTTATATATATTAAAAGGCAAGTCAATGTGCAAGTTGTCCATGTCTCCATTTGGTAGCTCAACCAATGAGTATCATTTACATGTGGCTATGCTCATTTTTGCACATACACCTTATTGACAAGGTGCTTTTTGAGGGAGGGGAGGTGATAAATAATTAATTATTATTTAGAAATAAGTAATAAGATTAATACTTGAAAGATAACACATACATATTATACAATCAACTCGCCAAAAACTCGGGCTATTGAAAAAAAGATGGACACACTTCTTATTAATTGTTTTATTTTCAGCCAAGTACAATTCATTGTAATACAATTAGGCAGCAGACAATTCATTGTAATACAATTAGCTAGGCAGCATGCAGTATTATTATTCATAGTTTGAGGGATTTATTATTGTTATTATTGCAGATCACCATGACATTTAATCTTCAGCAATTGAAATAGCAGAAGCAAGCCCATCCAATGTCGTGCCAGTGACATGAGCCCTCAACCGCGCCTTCAACACTCCGGCAACGGAGATCACAGTCGCCGCCATCGCACCAACCGGAGTACGTTTTGCTTAGCTTTCCGCACAAATTTTCTTCACCCACTCTACTCTCTATCAACATAACATTATATATATTGTATGTATTAACTACAAAGTTACTTAGAGCACACCTATATCTAGTACTACAAAATCAAATATAATTCACGAACAATATATATATATATATATATATATATATATATATATATACATATATTTCCGTGAAAACTTGCAAACCAACATGAATGTACAGAGTCGTGTACATAAATGCATACAAACTATTATTCCAAGGTAGATTGTGTCCTGCATTATGCACCGGAATCTGAGATTGTGTGCGTTTATGTAGACACTTATATGCATTTATGTACAAGTTCACAAGATTTTCACGGAAGGAGTGATTCTCATTCAAACATCACCTTCTATATATATAATAATAATAATAATACCACGATTACTTACCAGTAGGTGTCGCTATGAGGAAGCCGAAAAGAAAAGCAACAAATATGGTGTAGGATTTTGCCATTTGTTTATACGTAGGTATTTGCAATAATAGGCTACACGTACTCAATGTTGTTATGTAAGCGTCGAAGGAGTGGTGTGTATTTATATTGAGGCCAGGGAATGTGAGTACTTACGTTGTTACGTATGCAAACATGACGACACTACTAATGCTAGCCTAGCCAGCGTTAATCTTAATGTACTTTGTATCCATCACTTTGCCAGCATATATATATTTTTCCACATACTATACTTGTGTCTCTATGTGTCTACATTCTATCGGATTCATTCGTTTGCCCAATGTCAGGTAATTTTGGCAGTTAGTTCTGTAACGTTTATCCGTTACTATTATTATAACATTAGGATAAGTTATGATAATATTCAGTATTTGATATGTGGTGCAACACTAATAACCTAATAGCTAGACTACCATTATGATTAGGAGTCTGGTTAGGGTTTAGGAGACCTAAAGACAATCAACCACAATGATGGCCAGTGGTTATAAAAGGTCACTAGTCCTCTCACTGCTCACATTACATACCTCATACACCATCTAGAGAGAGCTGAGTAAAGTGAGAGACAAAATACTCGTTATCTCTGCAGCAGTCCGGATCGCTCAACCGTAACAGAAACTATGGCTGGAGGTTAGTCGATCCTGTAATCACATATTATATGGTGCATGTGATATTTTAGTCTAACAGTTGGTATCAGTCGCCATAAATAATCTCTGCCTAGTTTTTTTTTGTTTAATTGTATATAATATTTGCATATGTTGTATACATATTTGTATAATTAAATTACATATGGTGAATATTCTTTGGTTCGCAATTAAATTGTCTGGGCTGCTGGAAATTTGGTTTATTCCGCATTAAGAAATTAAAAAAATAAATTGAAATTGGATAATTAATTTTTGGCCTTTTCGCTGCTTCGCCGGAAATTGCTTCTTGTTTTTCGAATTCCGGTGTTGACTTGCGATTATTCAGATGAAGAAGATGGATGATGAATGTTTGGCTTAAGTTAATTGGGCCAGGTCTGGCCATTTGGGCCAGACCTGGGCTCATTTTTAAAAAAAAAATTTAATAATAATAATATTATTATTATTTTTTACTGGGCCTGTTTTGGTTCTGGATCAAATCTGAATTGATATTTGGACTACATCAATTCATTCAGTTTAATATCATCATCATATTTGGACTTCTTCTAATTAAATTATCCAATTGAAATTTTTTATTAAGTCTATTATTAAATTATTGTTCAACTTTGAATAATTATTCAGTTTTAATTCTTCAGTTGAATTTTAATTTAATAATGTTTTTCAGTTTAAATTGTATTAAGTGTTACAATTTAATTGTGGAGTATTTGTGAGTAATGTGCATAATCTGAGCATGCTATTTATCTCTTTATTGCAATAATTATTTGACTGTTATAATTATGCATGTAGAAAAGCATGTTCATTAAGAAAAATTTAGAGCCTTTGAGGTATGAATTATATGCTATGCATGGTTTAGTGCCTTTTAGGTGAATTAGCGACTTTCAGGTTAGATTATGCATATTATTACTCAATCTTCAGTTATTACTCCATTCGTGTTTTATAAAGTTCCTAAAGCACATAAAGTACATAAACAATTCGTAGTTTTACCCTATTTAAAGCCTTATCCATAGGTGAAACTACTCTTTAGATCTCTCAAATGATTTTACTTCAAAAATGAGAACACATGAATTAGGGAAGTTTCTTGGGGAGGAATACTAGTTCTATGGCCCTGGCTTGAAAGCCTTGTTGCTACTAGTCCCCTTGCGATGCTACTCTGTCTAAGGAGTTGGTTTTTAACCGAGCTTCGTCTCGACCAACTTTCCTGGGAGTATACCTAAGGATTGTCTATCATATTTTGGTTTAATCTGTTTGTTAATTAGGTTTTCTTGCTAATGTGATTATGTTCTTTGGTTAATTAAAGAGTAGCCACAGCATCTTTAATTTTTCCAAAATTACATATTAAGTTTTACTCACATAAAGTTAATGCAAGAATATTGTAATTCACTCTGCGTGATATGGCAAAATTTAGCCCACAGGCAATTTTGTTATATTTGTAGGGTTAATTAGGATGAAATACCATACTATGATCATAATTTGCCCACATGGATTATGTATCGGCATATAGTTTTGGTAGTTTTGTCATTAAGGGTGGAAAAATTAAAATCGCACCCATTCCGTTTCCACCATTCAGTTTTGGTAAATTCATTATGCGTAAAAATTTAGCCCACAGGCAATTTTTATGGCATCCGAATTTATCTTTCGCATAATTTTACATTGGTAATATTATGTACTTCAGTATCTCTCTCTAATTTTTTGTGCCTCGAAAATTCTAACCAAGCATTAATTATTATTCTTTACAGCAACTCATCCTGGCACCCAAACACAAATTAATGTTCCAATCCTTAATGAAGATAACCACAAAGAATGGAAAGATGCTATTCTCTTGCAATTAAGATTATTAGAGTTGGATTACGCTGTTCTCAATGAGGAACCCCCTGAGGTTACTGAAGAAAGCACTGGCGAAGCCAAGCAGCTTTGCGCACAAGGGGAGAAATCCAATGGATTTTGTGTGCTCTTCATTAAGTCAAGAATTTCTAGAAAAATTTGTTTTTGCTTTGAGGACATTAAGAAAGCGAAACCCTTGCTCAAAGCTATCGATGATAACTTCATTGAATCAAAGAAAGTTTTGGCAATGACTCTAATCATGAAGTTGAGAAATTTGCGTCTTTCCACTGTCAAGGGAACGCGTGAACACATTATGCAACTCAAGGATATTGCGGCTCAATTAAAGGAGTTGGAAATCATTCTACCAGATGATTATTTGGTGTTTTTTGCACTTGATACCCTTCCTCAAGAGTACAATCCTTTTAAGATTTTCTACATCACACATAAAGAGGACTGGTCTATCAATGAGTTGATAACCATGTGTGCAATGGAGGAACAAAGGCTTAGCTTGTGGCTAAGCTTGGGTATGTTCCATCTTCTTTTGTTTGTTTCGAATCTAATATGTCAGAAGTTAATACTAATTCTTGGTGGGTTGACTCTGGTTCAACAATCCACATTGCAAACTCTTTGCAGGATTTGACAAAATTGAGACAGCCAACGGGAACTGAGTGTAGCATCTTCTCTGGAAACAAAATTGCGTCACCAGTCGAAGCAGTCGAAGTTTGCAATTTAGTTTTGGACAATGGTTTTGTAATGACGTTAGAAAAGACATTTTATGTTCCTAGTTTTTCTAGGAACTTAGTTTCAGTATCTAGACTTGTACCCTTCGGTTGTTCTTTTGAATTTAATACCAATAATATCAAGTTATTTCGTTATTTTACTTGTGTTGGTACTGGTACATTGTCTAATGGTCTTTTCCGTCTTAAATTAAAGAATGATTCAGTTTACAATTCTTTACATGTTCAAAACGGCACCAAACGGTGCAGTATTAACGACAATTCCTCAATGTTGTGGCATCGGAGATTAGGTCATATCTCCCTTGAGCGTATTAAAAGGTTGGTAAAGGATGGAGTACTTTCTACTCTAGACTATACTGACTTTGAGACTTGCGTTGACTGCATTAAGGGTAAGCAGACAAACAAGTCAAAGAAAGGTGCCAATGGAGTTCAACGTTGTTGCAAATTATTCATACTGACATATGTTGTCCTGGTATGACAATACCTGGTCAGAAATATTTCACCACCTTTATTGATGACTTCTCAAGTTTTTCCTATGTGTATTTACTTCATCATAAACATGAAGCATTGGATGCTTTTAAATCATTTAAAGCTGAAGTTGAAAACCAATGTAACAGGAAAATACACATAGTTAGGTCTGGGTAGGGGTGGTGAATACTATGGTAGATACAATAAGAATGGGCAAGCACCTGGTCTATTTGCTAAGTTTCTTCAAGAGCATGGGATTGTTGCCCAATACACCATACCTGGTTCTCCGGACCAAAATGGTGTAGCTGAAAGAAGAAACTGGACCCTTCTGGATATGGTGCGGAGTATGCGTAGCAACTCTAAGCTTCCTAAGTCGTTGTGGGATGAAGCACTTAAGACAGCAACGTATATATTAAACCGTGTTCCAACCAAGGCTGTCCCTGAGACACCGTTTGAGTTATTCAAAGGTTGGAAACCGAGTTTGCAACATATGCGTGTTTAGGGATGTCCGTCTGAGGTGAGGATATATAACCCACACGAGAAGAAACTTGACCCAAGGACGATTAGTGCTTTCTTTATTGGATATGCACAATCTTCTAAGGGTTATAGGTTCTATTGTCCATCTCATACTACTAGGATAGTGGAATCAAGGAATGCTGAATTTCTTGAAGGTGACTTGATTAGTGGGAGTGATCGGTTTAAGGACTTAGTTCCTTCTTTCGATCATATTGACTCTCACCCTTCTATGTCATCTGGTGGTACTTATCCGCAGTGCTCCTTTAGTTCTGCCTGTAGATATAGCGCTTACCGTTGAGGTTCCACAAACTGTTGAGGATCAACCTTTGGAAGAACCAGTTCAGGACTTACAGCAACCGTCTGAACTAGATTTCGAACCAATGGTTGAACCAACTCAGGATATACAGCAAGATTCTGAGCCGATGCAGACTGAACCGATTCAAGAACTGCCACCAGTTCCTGAAGAGGTAGTTGCCCCGCAACCTGTACAAGGTGATGAGGGTCCAACCTTAAGACGGTCTACTCGGATAAGGCGATCAACAGTTCCTAGTTATTATGTTTCGTATCTACAAGAATCTGACATAGGGGCAGAAAATGATCCTGAAACATTCTCTCAAGCCACAAATTGTGCACAGTCTGACTTATGGTTAGAAGCCATGAAGGATGAAATAAATTCCATGAAGGACAATGGAGTTTGGGATCTTGTTGAGTTGCCTAATGGGGCCAAGGCCATTGGTTGTAAATGGGTCTTTAAGGCTAAAAGAAACTCATTAGGCAACATTGAGAGATACAAGGCCCGGCTTGTTGCCAAGGGATTTACTCAAAAAGAAGGAATCGATTACAAGGAGACATTTTCTCCTGTATCAAAGGAAGATTCACTTCGGAT